ACAGTGGGGCATTTGAAGACATTTTTTGCATAGGGGGTGGAGAATTTGATCAGTCAAATTTCAAAAAGTTCAAATTCCCGGGGTCGGCCCGGGGGGGGGGATGGTGAAGTTTCGAATTGATCGATACATAAAGCCTAAACATCCCCATCACAGAAACGAAGCTATTTCCGGAGACGTGTATTAAATAAAAATTATAAATCAATTAGAATGTCAATTATGCTGTAGTGTTCAATAGTTTATCAAACAAATATTAACAGAACGGCAATAAATAGATTTGGATAAACCAATAAAATAAAAATCAATAATCAAGCTGTCAATGAACCAATCTGATTATATTAAGTTAATAAATATTTGATAAATTTAAATTACCTTCTTTGTTGTCAACCAAAGAATTAAGAAAATCTTGTGGGGTCATCAACCGTTTTCCTCCATATTCATACGAAGCATATTCTTCAAACTTCATTTGTTTTAAAGACAAGTCTATCTGAACATCAGGCACTTCTTTGTCGTTTGATGCTGCAGATAGCACAAACGAACTCGGTAAAATGCTCGACTGTCTTGCTTTCAACCAGTAATTAACTGCTCCAGTGCCTGCGACAAATGCACCGGCTACGGCAAGCCAACCTAGCTGAGAGCCACGTAACCTGTTGTAGTTCGCAGCTCTGCGGTAAAATCGTCTAGAAAGCAAGTTTTTAACTTGAGTGAAGCTGCAGAGCCTCTTGGAAAACGGTAAATTGCAAACTATTCTATGACCAAAAACATTCGACATGTTGAATTTTTGACATCACATCAGTTCGCGGTCGCGGCAATTTGTTAAATTTCGCGGCATCTCGCGTGGCAGACGCGCAAAAGTTTGCACAAAAACCCGGAATGTGGACGGAACCATAGAATATATAATAGACTATTTTCTATTCTGTGACGGAACGACGGAATGGAAAACCCGGAAGGCCGGAACAGAAAACCAGCCCTAAGAAACTCAAAAGGAAAGCTACAATCTTGGACATAACTGGGTGAGGCTATTTTTCCCCCTATAGAAAATTCGCATATTTTTATGATAAACTAAATCCATGTTGAAACATGTTGCCCTTCTTAATGCACCAATCAATGTTAAGCCCCAGAGGGGGGGGGGAGGGGGGGGCATAGGTGGAGCATTTGATTTTTTGAGCAAATTTTCAATCAAATGCCCGACCGTCGGGCAATAAATATTGGTCAAATGCCCCACCATTTTGCAATAAATTACAATAAATACTATATTAATAAAAGTGATTCGGTTCAAACTATGGTTCAAATTGCCCCAACTCGGGGCCAAAATGCTAATCAAAATCCCCAGGGTGGGGATGCAATTGATGATCAAATACCCCACATATGCCCGACCCCCTCTGGGGGTTAACATTGATAGGTGCATAAGCCCCCACTCCCCCAACTCAGTGTTGAGCTATTGTGCCATGTTATTAGTTACCAAACGTTGTTTCAGCATTGTTTACAACATTGAATTAACTGGGGGGAGACAAACTTTGTTTTGTTAATGTTCGATAACTTTATAATAATAATTCCCTGGAATGATCTCAAGGGTTTTGTCCAAGATTGTAGCATTACCGTCCCTGCCACTTGTTTGTTGTAAGTGGCGAAGTTTAATAAATAAATAAATAAATACTTAAGCATGCCACTAGACGGGCCAATGATTTTTGAGTTTATATGGATAAACGATACAAAGCCATCCTGCCAAAATTACAGTTTGCAATTTGAAACATTATAATAATATTTGTGCTTTCAACACTAGCTAGGATATGCCACTTGTACTTATATTTATAACTTCATAGTTTACATTTTTAACTCAGTTTTAAACTTCAAATGCGATAGAATTTTGGCTTGGACCATCTAAGCTGACTGACATCAACTTGCTATAATTTCTGTTTACATTACATCGCAATTCGATGACACTCTGGCTCAGACACCAGAATGTTTTGACGATTTTTAGCATTCGTTTAGGATTTTCAAACAACCTGGTCTCTTTTAAAATACTTTTAATTTGTTCTTACGTGGTTTTCCAGATGTGGTGACGACAACATTAAAGTTTAAAGAAGAAAATTCTAACATTTAAACCGACTAAACAATAACATAGTAAACTTGCATAATTAAACAGGAACTAAAAATGATAGGTTTTACTAAATCTTTTCCTGTGCAATTATTACTAGCATTGGAAACAAGGATAATAGTTTGTTTGAAAGAGAAAAGAACAGGCTTTGAAGTAAGCCTAAAAGCGTTTAACTAGAAATAGTATTTCGAAAGTTATTAAGCACAAAAGATGAATTGCGTTTATTTTGATACACCCTGTATATGTGGGTATTAAGAGTGCAATTAATGAAATAATTGCACTCCTCTTTACCAATCAGATTGCAGTAATTTTGTCGTGTATATAATAATTAAATGTAGGAAAACTTTGGATTGATAGGGATGCAACTACCTGAAAAATACAAGGAGATGGATTCGCACACCTCTAATAAGCAGTGACGGATTCGCACACCTCTAATAAGCAGATACATGTACGCTTGGCGTACCTATTTTTTAAATATGATAAGGAGTGCCATTATTTCTGAATAAATTAACCCATGTTCCTGACGAGTAAAATCATCTGGTGTTTAGACAGAGTAAAATAATAAAGTAGCTTAATTAATTTGTGTAAATTAAGCCAAAGGGGAGAGTGCTGGCTCTGATTGGGTTAAGCAAGAATTAACAGTGACGAAAGTGACATCATCTCCAACAATTGAATCATCTCAGGTATATCGGCAACAAAATGGTTTCCAAACAAAGGCCTAGCTATAGCTGACTGTCCATGTCTTGCATCATCACCTTTAGATACACATATTCTGAATAAGAGAAAAGAATATTATTATTTAAATGGTTGGCTGAATGATTGACTGAAGGGTGTTGTTGATGGAAATTATTGAATGGAAATTTATATACATTTTATTAGACCTAACCAGGAACAGCTATGAAATAATATAATTATGTAACTTAATTTAGGTCCTAATGGCAGGAATTGAACCTGTGGCCCTGCGATACTGGTGCATGCAGTGCTCCAACCAACTGAGTTACAAAGGCCAGTTGCCGAGCTCTAACCACAAGCTCATGTATATATAAATATAGGGTACTGCCATGTTTTAGGTTATGAGTAATTAATATTAAGATTTTGTGGGCATACTGGTTAGGTCCAATACAATGTATATAAATTTCCACTCAATAATTTCCATCAACTACACCCTTCAACTATTGAATCGAGTGAGATGCCAACAAAATCTGAATGATTGATAGATAGACAGTGGACAGATAGGCTAACTTAGGAAACATTAACTAAATTCAAAGCCACTGCAATGCTAGTCAGCACCTTTTTAGAGTCTCCAGCAGTTCTCCATAATTTCGTTTCACATCAGCGTGCATCCATGTCAGCTGTTGTTAATACACATCTGAATGAACAATTAATATTCCATATTTGATAGAATATTCAGTGCATATATATACCTTCTACCTGTGGTTTGATTTCCTGGTTTAATTTCTGTAATATGCATCGTTATTTGAGTGAAATGTTGCACATTGTAAGAGTGCTTCCACTCTGACGTTGCAAACTTCAGGTATGCATGGTTGTGACAAAATTATCAATATACAAACATACAGTGTATAATCTAATACATTACAATACTGTAATCTAATTATTGCATGTCACTCGTCTGAGCTGTTGGAATCGCTGTCGCTGTTCGGAATGGCATGATAATTGGTGCACTTATACACAGGGGGTTTACATGGGGGGGGGGGGGGGGG